GTAATCAAGTACATGATATAATAATAATAATAAATTTATATTTACAGTATACAGAATGTATTTATATTATCAAAAGAAAATAAATCTAGTAGATTCTTTTAAATTTTCTTCTTCATTTCTTTAATCATGATCATAAAAAATATTCATTTTGCATAAATATCCACAATCTAGTTATGAATAATTTTTATTGTATTGCATAATATTTCTTATGTTACGAAAACTTAAATTACTTATAACTTAATAAATCGAAGTTTTAATCGACATTCTTGTACCAACTTTTGTATTAGTTACTAATACAAAATACTTAATCTAAAATCAATATATTAAAGGTGTTTCACAATTTATCTTGTATCCATTATATGTAAGATGAATGTGGAATTGAATATGGAACAATGCAAGAACATGTTCATACATCATATGTTTCCCTATTCGATAGCACTATTTGCAAATATATCCAGAGACTTGATTTAGATACACGAATAGTAGATATGTCAGTTTGAAATCCCGAAGGATGTCGTAAATTAGGATTTTCTCTTAATCTATGATCACTCTCCATCTAGCATTTCCTGTTTCCATGTTTGGCTTTATTTCGAATGTCTATATATATTCTATCCTATCAATTTTCTACATCCGTGTTCCTCCATCACCGCAATTTGTTTTTCTTATTTAATACCGGTTACTAAATAATAAAAAAGTATTCGTTTACTTTTTTTTACTTGCTATGTTTATATACATGTATTTACATACAAGAACTTATACTAACTTATATATATTATATAAATATAACAAATATGTAATATGATACTTGAAATGGGGGCTAATCCTGTTTAAAGTTGACATTCGTTTAACATGATTAAAAAACTGTTAATTGAAAATGAAACTGACAGATATGATCGCAACAAGATAATAGCGACTTATAAAAGTGTCGAGATTCAAAATACTTGTTTAAATTTACAATCAAATCATAAAAATCTTCATAAACTATTATATTACATTTTACGTGATCTCAATTAATAACTTATATTGTCAAATCTAACAAAAATTTTAAATGAAACTTTATACATAGAAGAATTTTTTTTTTTTTCTTTAATCAAATATCATTTCGAAGCATTGAATACTTTTTTTGTTTTTATTTTTAATATAAAAACATTTAAACTTCTAAAATATTACAAATTTCTTTTAATCCATTGCAATAAAGTAAAAGTTTTTTTAACTTAAATTATTTGTAATATATCCAAATGCATTATTTTATTTTTGTAATTTGAATTTACGAGAACCAAACTTTTACAAATCGAATTTATCTTTATATGTCGAATTTCTATTTGATGCTTCTTCTGTTATTCGAAGTTTATAATTATATCATAAGATCATTCGATATTGTTTCATTTTTTTTTTTCTCAATCGTTAGGATTGTTTCAAACTATTCTTGATAGAAAGTATTCTTTAAAATCCTTATATCCTGCGACATCTGTCGCTTATTTCTCAATCATCAACTTTCAAGATTGAATTTTCCTTTGTTTGATTTCCATTAAAATTGGAAAACTATAGATTGATTTTATATATAATTTATATTTTATATATAGTATATATAGTTTTTATATATATTTTAGTTATATATGTTGACTTTTCGTTTGTTAAATCTTTTTCATTTGAAAATTTTGATAAATCAAAACTTATATAACTTATATAATGCAAAATTTCAATTTTTCTCTTCGAGTTATCGATTATAACTTTATAATGTGAGATAGAAAACTTTTCATATATAAATATTCAACTTCTGTACTATATTCTATCATCCTGTTGTAAAAGTATTTCCAAGCGAAATTATACTAATTCAAAACATAAAAAAATATAAACATAAAATAATATAAAAACATAATATATAAACATAAAATATAAAAAAATAATGAAAATTTGAAAATTAATTTCAACCTTTTAAAGAGATTTCCCAACAAAAAAAGAAATTTTTGTGTGTATAACTCATCATTTGTCTTATAAATATAATTTTCACTAAAAATTTAGAATTAATTAATAAAATTAATAGAGTCTATTTATAAGATAGTGTATAAAGATTTTTGTGATTGACTATACATACTATACATATTTAATGATCATTATAGAGGAAGATAGTGAAAACAGTAGAAAATTAAAGTAAACTTATTATTCCGAATGTGGATATAAGTGTACAAATAAAGTAACAGAAATTCTGAATAAGTAACCATCTGACATCTCGACAAAGGAGTGTTTGATATAAAGTCAATTACTAAGTATTTGTAAAGATGGATTTACACTTGATAATTATTTATATTGCGTTATCATCCAATGATGCAATATAATGCCACGATTTTATTCCATATCAATTATTGCGCTTTCATATTATAGATAATAAAGATTCTTATTAGTGAAAAAGACATCAGTTTTTCTTATGATATAAATAAATAAAAAATGGGACGATACTATTCAAATTAACTTAATAATTACTTGGATATCATGTCATTTAATGATGACGAAAAACTAATGAATTGATCAATTGATATATTTTTGAATTCTATTTTGAGTGACAACGATACAATGCTTCTCGTTTACACTGATACGAAACAATGATATAACATAAGAACATTAATTACATAACAAATGTAGACAAGTCACAATGGATTTTTCAATAAAGAGAAAAAAATATATTTATCATTTTTTTTTAATATTGTTGATTTTTACTTATTCGATGATCTAAATTTCTTTAATTAAATTGGATATATTCTATAACATTAAATTAAACTAAATTTAATTATTTGTTCACATATTTTTTTTTATTGTTTTTTATAGAAATGAATTTATAATTAACAAATGTATTATAGTATTTATTAGTATTTATAATATTTATTAGATATTTATTATATAATTATATAATTATATATATTATATTATTGTAGTATTTATAGTAAAATACAAATATAATAACAACTTTTAAAATTTTTATTCTGGATTCTCTCTTTTTTTCTATGTGTATGTGTGTGTGTGTGCGCGTGCGCGCGCGCGCGCGCGCGCCTTCGTCTGTATGTGTATTTAATTTAATTAAAGATGTTAAAAATATTTTGAAAATAATGCAAATATTTGAATCATTAATATAATTTTGAATCATTAAATTCGAATAATTAACAATATTAAACAAACTTCTTTTAAAATAAAATATAAAATCCATTGTTAACAAAATATAATTTTTTTGATAAATTAGATTGTTTAAAACATAATTAAAAAATCAAAAAAAATATTATATAAATCAATAATTTTTATAAAAAATTGCTATTTTAATTATAGATTTATATATTTATAATT